TTCTTTGGTTGCGTGAATGTCAGATTGTTGCCCCATATTTGGGAAGTTTTCTGCTATTACTTCTGCCCATATTCTTTTTATATCATTTGTGTTGACTCCTTCCTTCTCATTGATGCTTATTAGTCTCACATTGTTTATCTTTGCATCATCTTGCAGGTATTGAATTATTTTTTCCTGCATCCCAGTTGTCTTAAAGAGATCTTTTCTTTTTCACTAGCTGCAATGGTGTCTTTAAGGTCAGAAAGTCTGTTTTCACTTTCCCTCAAACGGTTTTGCCAGCTTGTCATTGAGGTTTTAATTTCCTGTATATCACTTTGAATCTGTTTCATACGTTCTATTTCTTTCCTAAATTGCTTATTCAGGGGTTCCATCATTTTTATATTCTACTCTATTTTTTTATCAGTGTATTCTTTAGAAGCACTTAGTACTTCTTTGATTATAGTTAGCACTATATTTTTTAGTTCCAAGATTATTTCCGATCTGATTTCTTCTATACCTTTCTGCAGTTGTTTCTTTACTTACAACGCTATTATTTCAGAGATATCTGGTGTGTGACTTCCAGTTTCCTCAGTGCTAGTGTCTTCTGCAATTTACAGGGTGGACTCAGGGCCTGAGACTGCGTTTTGTTCCTTCTCTTTGTCATTTTGTATACCACTGTCTTCTGACCTTTGGTATAGAGCTTAGATAGAGTTATTACCTTAGCACCAGATCCGGATCTATGAAGTACAGATTCCTCCAGGTGGATGTTGTTTGGATCTGGCTGCTGTGCTCCACTTCTTTCTACTGCAGCTGTTAGAGTTGAACTCTTTGTGTCACTCTGGCAAGATGTTCTGCTCCTGAATCAGCTGGGTGGGTCTTGCCTCTAGCCTCTTTTCAGGGAGTTCTGCTGAAGGGTTCCTCACTGGGCCTGCACTCTGGGTCGAATGAGGATCTGCGCGCGGGCCCTGGGGGTCTCACTCACACGCTGGGCCTGCGCTCTGGATCTACTCAGGATCTGGTGGGCCCCTGGTCGTCTCACTCACTTGCCGGGCCTATGCTCTGGGTCTATTCAGGATCCAGCGGCCTGGGCAGTCTCACTCACTCGCAGGGCCTGCGCTCTGGGCCTCTAGCTGCCTTTTTAAAACACACATTTAGAAGAAAACTTTTTTTCAGTTATAATGTTGTTGTTTTGTCCCTTTCAGCTTTTATGTGTAAGTTGAGAATTATTTTTAAGCAGATCTCCTAAAGTTTATTTAAGGGATATTTATAGTCTTCAAAATCCTGACTGAATTAGTACTTTTTCATTTTGAGACAGGATCTCACTGTGTTATCTACCCTGTCCTCAACTTCCTGGGCTCACACAGTCTTTCTCCACCTCCTATTCTTAGTACTTTTGTAATCTTACATATACAGAGGAAATAGTTCTGAAGGGAATTATATGAGTTTTCTGTGATTTCTCATTTGTTACTAAAGTTTTTTTTTACTATCACTACATATGAATCACTTCTAAGTTAAACTTTCATCTCTTTTAGCAGAATTAGCAGTTTACTCCTCAAGAGCATATCTAATGTACCTGATTATATCTATTTTTTTACTTGGTGCCAGAAACTGTTAACATGCATATTTTTATTTTCTTGTTAACCTAACACATTTACAATTCTTTCTTTAAAGGCAAATCCTCCTCCAGTCTTGGTCAACACAGATAGCTTGGATACACCAACTTATGTAAGTTTCAATTCCTGTCCACATGTAATAATTCTGCCTTTCCTGATTCATTTTTGATAAAAAAGATCACACCATGATTTTTTCTAATACTTAAGGTATACTTTCACTATATACCATACCTGCAATTACTTTAGTAAATGAAGCAGTACTATCCTGTTTGAGTTCCTTTTTTTATATTCATGCAAAAAAATATTGAGTTAGAAATTTATGGTTTAATTTTGAAATTTTGGCAGTTAACTTTAAGTAAAGGCTTTTCTCTGACCAGTAGTTTTATAATAATATATATTCAATCCTTGTAAAAGTCTAATTGAGTAACTACATTTTTAGTAAATAGATGTGTATGTTAAAATAATTTATAATTTTGTATTTTTAAATTGATTAAATTTACTTTTTAAAAAAGTTCTCATTGTTTTAAAGATGAGTAACCAAAAGAGAAGGAATAATTAACATTTTTCACCTCAAAGGAAAATACCTGGCCTGAGGATTTAGCTCATAGGCACAGTGCGTGCCTGAGTTCAATTCCTGGTACAAAAGAAAAAGGAAAATATCTTTGTAGTTAAAGAACAAATAGCTGGGGGTTGGGAGGAGGTCCCTGGGCCTGCCTGCCTTGCGGGCCCCGCCCCCAGGGTAAGCTGAAACAGCAATTGAGGCTGGTTGTGGTGGCATACCTGTAATCCCAGCTCTTGGGAGACTGTAAACAGGAGGATCACTACAAGTCCCATCTAATAGTGAGACCCTGAACACCCTGTAGACCCTTCCCTAAAATACAAATAAAATTCCTCGATCTTGTTTTGTTTTTTTTTTTTTTTTATGTAGCTTCAGAGGTCTCACTGAGATTAGACTCTCTCAAAGTGAGCCCAGAGCCTCAGAAGCATCTCACATTTATTGAGTGGTAAAGGCAGGCTAAGGAATGTGCATAATTACTTAAGTGAATGCAAAATACTATCTCTGTTAACATCCAACATTTCCCTAACACTAGGTTCACACAAATGCTAGCCGCTAACATCCCAAGCAAGGGATCAAAGAACAGGACACCTGCAGGAAAGGTTGCTGTCTGCAGCCTTGTGTCCCAGCTTGCCAGGCATTTACAAGTGACAGAGAGCAGCTCTCCCTGGTCTCTGTATTGTTCCCTGCTCTCTTGGGACATTAGGCTTTTGTCTCAAATCTGTATTTCTACAATTCCCCGCTTTGTTTTTATGCTGAAAGTTTTTGCAGCATCAGAGCAAGGACTGCAGATTTTTGGTCCATGGCTTTTTGCGGGACTCATCCTCATTGCCAGGCTAAGCAGGATATACAAATAGTACAGAGACAAAATAGACAAATCACCATTACACTTCCACTAAACTATGGAGTAACATGAAAAGGATTAAGGTTTTCAGTGCCATTCGAGATGGTTTGTAACAGATCAGTGCCAGACAGTTCTGACAATTGTTTTACAAAAGTATTATCAGTATGTTGCTGAAGAGACAGGATCTCAGAGGTAATATTACCATGATGCAATAAATGTCTTTTTACATTTTCCCATGGGAAATGAGTTTGATGCCATGGAATTGGAGTTACACGGAATGAAGAGGTATTCCATTTACATTTTAAACGAAGTTGACACTGTAAATTAACAATTTCAGTCATATTGTTGATGTGTTACTATTGCTCTGGTGAGAGTTTTTATGTATAATTTAGATTTGTTAGGTTTATGTTTTCAGTAATTTATCCATTTCTTCTAGGCTGCCTTACCAATTTTTTGGCATATAAAAGACATGATTCTTTGTATTTCTGTGTCTTTAGTTGTAATGTCTCCTCTTTCATTCTAAGCCATTCATAGCAGCTCCTAAAATAAACTGGTAAGATGCTTAGCTTAAATAAATTGGACCAAAGAAGTAAAAGATCTACACAATGGAAACCATAAAACACTCATGGAAAAGACTGAAGATACAAAATAAAGACATCTTGTATTCACTTACTGAAAATTAAATATTATTAAGCTGTCCATGCTGCCCAAAGCAATCTACAGATTCATTTTAATTCCTATCAAAATACCAATTATTTTTTCTCAGAAATAGAAAATACACAGGCCAGCAAGATAGCTCAGCAGACTAAAGCACCTGCTTAGGCAGACTTAGGCAAGCGCAGGGACTATGGTTTGATCCCCATCACCACATGCCATGCCAGCCCTGTCCCTAGGGAGGGCTGAGCCAGCCACAGAATCCAAACATATTGGTGTATGCCTGTAATCCCAGCACTGGGGAGGCTGAAAACTGAAAGATCACTATGAGTCTGAGCTGCATAGTGAGACCCTATAGCAACCAACTACATCTTTAAAAAAAAGAAAAATAAATAGAAAGTATACTTCTGAAATTAATATGAAATCACAAAAGACTCCAAATCAATTGTGAACTACCTGATCTAAAATCTTCTACAAATTTACAGTAGAAGCAAAACAGCATCTGGGCTGCGAGATAGTTCAGTGGACTAAGTGCCTGGTTCAATCCCTGGTCCCACATGCCACACCAGCACCACCCCCAGGGCATGCTGAGCCCCTGACCGAGTCCAGGCAAGGTGGCCCACACCTGTAATTCCAGCACTGGGGTGGCTAAAATCAGGAGGATCACTATGAGTCTGAGCTGCGTAGTGAGACTGTATACCAAATACATAAGTGAAAAAGAAAAAAAGAAACAGCATCTTACTTGGACAAAAACAGACACAGAGATCATTGAAACCAAATGGAGAACCCAGAAGTCCCTATATTTAGTCAACTGATCTTCAACAAAGATGTTAAGATCACACAGTGGGAAAGGATAGTCTCTTTAATGAATGATGTTTGAAAAATTAACCATCCATATTTTGAAAGAAGGAAATTGGATTTTGTGTTACCTCATATGTAGCCATCATCTAAAGTCGGTTAAGGATTTAAATGTTAAGAACTAAAATTACAAAATTGTTAAAGAAGATGGGAGAAATTTTGTTATTGCTGAGCTGAGCACAGATATTTTAGATATGGCCCTAAGAGCAGAAATAGGCAAACAACACTGCAGGAACCCTTTGTTCAACAAAGGAAGTAATTATCAGAGCATAGCGACAGGTACATGCAAGCCATGACTCTGACAAGCAGAAATAACCAAACTACATAAGAAGATAAATATCCTAATTTTAAAATGAGCAAAAGACCTGAAAAGATGTTTCTCAAAAAAAGTACACATTACATGTCTTTT